GGCGCGTAGTCGTTAAAACAAGAAATTGCATTTCTCCTCCTCGAAGAGTGGAGGAGACTGGGCGGCGAATTCCCGGCGAAATCCTTGCACTCGGCGCCCATAAAAACTATTCTATACTCCTTTTTGAATAGGTGTTAAGCTACCACTTCTGATCTTTTGAATGTGCGCGCACCCGCCTGCCCAACAGGCGGACGATATAAAAATCGAGATAAAAGAGCGCAGAGTGGATTAAAACGAGCTGTACCAGCAGGAGGGAAGTTAAAGACAAGACGCTCCGCGAACCAGACAATACCGAAAATAATGGACGAGAGCTCGTTTTGCCATAAAGAAGTTATAAAAGTTATAAAACCCCTTTTAATTATTTCCACTCTTGACTTTTATCTCGACGACGACAAAAGGCGCGAAATAACGTGATTACAGACTTCAGAACTGTATTAACTCAAGATTTTATTATGTTTTCAAATAATCGCTGAGCAAACAAAAATCACAATTTCGTAATTTATGTGTATTCATAGTAGGAATAATTTAGCAACGATAAATATCAACGACTTTTTAGGCAAACGTTTACGCTGCAAATACAATAGTTTAGCAGCTATGAGTAGAATTAAAATTCTTAAAGTTTGAGACGTAAACCATGCCGATATTCGGTTTTATTCGGCATGGTAATGGCAGTGAACGTCGACGGTGGTCGTAACATTAAGAGTTATACCGTATAAACTGAAAGACCGATGCGAAAAAATCGTAAAATCGCAGTCATAATCGAAGCAAGTTACGTGAACGCGCCACAATCTCAAATTTTCAATAATTCCATTCAATAATAATAATATAACGGGCGGTAAAATTTTGCCAAATCAGCAAAGATGTCACAAATGTTCTTTTAAAATAATCTATAATAAAATTAAGTAATTACAAACAGTTGTTAACTAATTTATTTCTTTATAAGGACTAATCAATCAATTTTCTTTGTTCCTTAATTCCTGTAATAAAACGCGTCTGCACTGGGCGCTGAGGCGATGCAAAACACTAAAAGCAAGCTTCTTTATTTTAATTACTTAATCCAGACTTCGAACAGCAACACAACACGCTCGTATATATCTTTCTAAGCTTTTCACCGTCGGCACGGATCGCATTTTGCCCTTCTCATAATGTTTACAACTTTACACCTACTTACAGGATAAATTCCTTCTTGTTTTCATCAAGCATCGCCCCTTTTTCTTGCCGGTTGAGTATCAGGGTGCGCGTTTTACGTTTTCTGCCGTCGATAGTTTTATTACCATTATTTATCGGCTGCGAGTGGAAGTTGACAGTGAAAATCGAGAAAAACCTTTTGTGTTGGTACCTACCGGACTTTTTCGAGTGGTCATAAAATCAGTGAAAGGTAATCAAGAAATTGTACTAGCTTAAAATAAAAATACAAATAATTCGCATCTACTATAATTTTTTTTCGGTAGATTTTGAAATAATAAGGAAATAACCGCTCAATCAATTGATATCAACCGAATAAATTTTTTCCAGGCCATGGCATCACGTGATACCGCGACAGCAGCGCACCAAAGTGAAATAAATAAAAGTTTTATAGTGTATTTTACAACTTTACACGTTTTACGTGCTATATTATATACCTGTGCAAAGCTGCGTCGATCGACGCACGTAAATATAAACTCGCCACGCCACAGTGTAGACAACGTGCGCATATGCATGTTTTCCGCTTGTTTTAGGGACTTGTTAACGGATCGTTTCGGAACTGTATGATATAAAATGATATATCTATAAATTGATCACATCGCGCTGCATGCGACGATAAAAATGTTTACCTTGTTATGAAAATTCGTCCAGGCGGATGTTTTCAATAGTTTTATATCCGATATTCATTGATTTAAATGTTAACAGCAATAAAAACGTTTAAAATATGATCAGATTGTTAATTCGTAATTAAGTATACTATAATATAATTTATGGCGACCTGAATGTGTCCAATAACATGTTGTTGGTAGCGAAAACATGTTAAACATGCACTTTGACGCTTTGTCGAACACGATCTGTCCGAAAAATAAATAATTAAGCACGCGTTTTTTGTGTGCGTTTTAATTTGTATTTTATAGTCGCCTACTTTGGTTTCTGCTTCTTTTACGATCGCATCGAAAAAGGAAGCACTACAATGGAGTTTTAAAATGCATGGTATTGACGCGAGAGTGAGGCTTGTTACGACTACACATTGACTAAACTAAAGCGCGCTCAAATTTGGTTTTAATTAGTTCGCGGGCGAAGCCGCCCCACAAGCGGATGCGAAAATAATAAATTTTAACTGACCGAAGTGGAGCTTACCCGCGCCTCGCACGTGTACGCATGTGCGGAGCATGGGATAGGTTAAGTCCGTGTACCGGGTAGAACAACTCAGTCACCCGACGAGAGAGGGAGTGAGAGGCGCAAGTCGGAGAGAGCGCTTCGACGTACCGCAACATTAACCGTGATCGTAAAGCGCAGTTTATATCCGTTTTATGGCATTTGTAAAATATTGCATTTCGAGTATAATATATGCACTTGACTATATAACCTTATAGCTTCACGAAGCGAGCAGCGCATCCTGGCGTATGCAATGTGTGTGCGGAGGCTCCGCTCTGTGCTATCGATGCGATGCGGTTTGCAGACCAAGTAAAAGTTGCCCTCAGACAGCGCAAATTAAATTCGGTAACGCCGTCTTCCAAGGAGGGTGTGATCTTGCAAATTGTTGTTTGAGATTGAGAACGGTCGACATCAGCAGAGAATTTGATGACTTAACGATGAATTTGCCACGGAATTAACCATCAAAGTTTTGATTTTAGTGCAGACTGAGAAGAGAAACTGATACATTTCGTGAGTATTGGAATCATACAGTGTTTTTTGTTTTGTATGTCGTTTTACATTTTACTATTTTACATTTTACACTGACCATTCCGGGCGAAGTTGGGTAGCGCAGCAGTAAAAGCACTAAAAGCCTCTCTAACCCTTTTACGATCATTAAAATCGCCCGCGATTCGATAGCGCCGCGCGCATACACGACGAGCTCGGTTACCGCCACACGGGGGTGGTCGACGAATCAAATTCACTCAAAATAGCAATATTTCATGATATTCTTATCATTTAAATTGATATAAACAAAAATAAATATATACAAATCTAGAGTAGATTTTGCGTATTTCGTTGCTATTTAAATTTAGAATATAAAGAATCGTAAACATAAAATGCGCTCATATAAATTTCACTGTCATTGAAGCTAAGCTCCAATTGAAATGGTTATCCTATCATTCTATCTATCAAGGGAATGGTTTCTTCACAAATTTCCAAGGCGGAGTATATTGCTGCATCACTGGTTGTCTACAGTTAAGTTGGTGACTGTAGGGGTTATGGTAGAATAGTTTACAGCTTTGGTTGCAGCATTCAGAAGATATAAAACGAAATGGGCGATTAGGTAAAGTACATTTTAATCAAATTTTGAAAAAATTAAAAAATATTACGAAATCTGCATGAGAAAATATCTTTTTTATAAAAATTTACAACAAATAAATCAATATTCTGTGTTTTCTCATAAATTTTTTAAATTTTCAAGTCGTAACCTAGGATTTCATTTAATATTCCTTAAAAATGAAGCAATATATGCAACATTGCATCCGTTTACAAGCAATGTTGGTTGCAATGTATTCCAGAATATTGTACTTACTTACATTGCAATTTGATACCTATATACAAGACAATAAAGGGAATACGGCCGCGAAATAAACTCCTTTACGAAGGCGCAATTGCAAATGAAAACCGCGTGCGCAGGTAGTCCACCCAACGTACGCTTAAGACGTTTAAAAGCTGTTTATGAATAAACATTTTACTCCTGTGCCGCTATAAACCGCGCGCCACGTAATTGAATGCTGTGCGAGCCCATAGCGAATGCAACGCAACGAGAAAAGCAATCGTTGTTGCAGCCACGAAAGGCAATGGCGGATTGATCCAAGAAGGTAATGCATAGGAGTACGTGACGAAGAGACGCGTATAAAAGTCTGCGCTACTCGCAGTGGTTGGGTTATGGGATGGAAATATCGTAAAAGATAACCGCGAGCCCTCGCCCGCATGTATGTGCACGTTGAGCTGCCTAACATTGTCTAACCGAAAATTTATCTGCTTCCACATTTACCTGTTGGTCGGAATGGCGCGCATATGTGCTGTCAGACGGGAAAATTTAATAACATTTGCGCACATTGTAACTTTATAGGTTTCTATAGCATCACTTGCATATCAATCGGAAATCTCAACATCTAAAAATCAAATATTCACGTAAAATTTTTAAGGAAAAGTTTAATTTGAGAAAAACGTTAAGGTTATTAGGTTAGGGGTGCGGAAATCTACTTTTTTGCCTAACCTAGGTTTATAATCAAATACTGGGGTAGGTGTAGGTTTATAGCGCTCTGTTCGACCGACTCAGACTGTTAGGATCGTAAAATTTCCCACCCTCATGGCGATAGCTGAGGGAGTTGACACCTTGATACAAAAAATATCACCCTTGGACATAATAATACTAAAACTCCCAGAAATTAACCGTTCGTGGTCATGGTCATGCGGTTATCCTTCCGCAAGAAAACCGAGTAGTTCCCAACTAGTTTAAGGACGTTGCCGCATTTACAATTCCATTTAGTGTGGAGCGCGCACATAAAAATATTCTAAAATATCAATTCGGCGGATTGGTTACGACGTTGGCCGCCCTCCGGTGGCGGCTCAACGGCGGCTACAGACCCGCATATGAATCCATAAATCTATAAAAGTTTTATGTGCGTCTTGTCAGCCGGCTTCGGGGTACGATTCCTTCTCGCTTACGCAAGTGTTGACACAGGCATGCAATCAACCGAAATGCCAAATATGTGTAAGTGTATTATATACAATTTTACTCAATCGATATGTTTATAAGCAGACGACACCAATAACCGAATGAATTTAGTTTATTAATATTAAAAATTAAAAAAAAAATTTTTACTCACTCAGCATCGGCTCCGTGGTCGCAAGGATGTGGTAGTGAGAAGTGGTGCAAATTGAAGGTTGGTGATTGGCTCGTTGAACGGCTCGATGAACCCAGGTGCCATGTAACCGGTGTGCTGGTACATCTTCATGCGAGCTTTCATCTGATTGAAGGTGTCCATGTCTAGACGCGGATAGTAGCGCACCAATGCCGCCATATACGGCAATTCTATGTTTGCTGTTGAAAAAACAAAACAAAAAATTATTTTTGATAAAACACTGAATATTATACAATATAATAAATTTATACACAAGGTAATATTAGGTATAACATTTCGATGAATATGATGCTGTTTGATTGCGTCGCGACGCCGTAAACAAAAACAAATGAATATTAAATGATTTCGTCGACAGCAGCAGCGCATAATGCGTTTCAGTTTAATGCTTAATCTGGCCGCTGTTGCAATGTGCAACAACGTGGCAAATAAAACAACAATGCGTTTGCACACACAATGTGGGATCGTATTCGACCCAAAACCCGACTTGAATTGTCGAGTTGTATGCGCCGTATATCCCGCGATTTACGTCCGTGGTGCCATTGCCGAGAGAGATCTAAAAATGATTATTAAAATGTCGCATTCAGAATCAATGCAGGCAACCCTCACGGCATTGCACTCTCGCCGTGCGCCGTTAAAGTTGCATTTTCGTAGCGCGCGGATTCGGCAAAGCGTAATAACGCGTCAGGCAGCGCGGGCCACCGATTTAATTATGGTATAAAACCATTCCAGCATTAAAAGTGTCGTTATGATGCGTTTTATGGGCGGGAATGCTGAAATGCTGAACGCTCCCGTTGACTGCGACGGCGGTTTGAAAGGTACTACCTCACTCCCAGCTTGCGGATTGTGCAGACGTTACGTCTCCGCGCGCCGATTTCGTAGATCATTCCGAATTGTGGTCAAACAAAAAGTTTTTTTACGACACTAAATCACCGCGCATACCAGTCGTTTCCCGCGTCAAACACTTGCAATTGTTTTCCGAACCAGTATGCAAACACGTTGTATAAAATTCAACATTCTTTTATGTGACTGAATCTAATTTCGAATGCAACTATGATCACATATTGCTGATGTGAACGAAAAACGCAAAAAATAAATCAAATCGATAATAATTCATTTTTAGGATGTCAAAACAATTTAATAAGAAAGCAGAAGAAAATAAAGTAAAAGTCTGACGATAGCGCACGTTTCGACTTATATTTGATGCAATTCAATCCGGTGTGCAATGTGTTTGCTACACACTTCCATTGATGTTTGTAAATTGTGAGCAAAATAAATGCTTGCGATTTCTGTGAAGACTAGGCAAACCTCAGAAACACGACAATATTGTTACCATCGTGTTGCCACGTTCGGGCGTAGAGTTATGACTAGTTATACACAAAACAAAAGCGAATGCGCACCTGGTTTCCGTCTTCGGTTCGCACATCGTTTACCATCGCGCCTTGCCACTTCATTTATGTTATTACTAGTACTTCGACGCCGCGTTCGCGACTAATATACAGAAGCAATCAAACTCCAAGTACTGCTTACTGCTTTGCACTCGCAGGAAACCAGCATGCACACACAACATCCGAATGAATGATGTTTGATTTGCTTCGGTGGCATTGTTTCATGCAGCGCATGAAATAAAAAAAAAATCCTGCAAGTTCTCGACCTTACTCGTATGTGACATTTTGCATATATGCACCTTGCGGAATTTGAACGGTATTATATTTAGCGAAAATGTTGTCGCTGTATTTAGAAATGGAAGAGTAATGAAAAGTGCAAAATGGTAACAACTTTCGTAACCACGCGCGAGCACACAATGCGTTGTGTTCGCCAGCTCTCGCACTCGCTGCCAATTGCAATAATATGTAGTTGTTAAAATGCGAAGAGTAGAAAATAGTCAATCGTAAATCTCGACGCAAAATAAACATGCGCGAAGCTCTTAACTTCTGTATTTTGCGTGCACAAAATATTATTATTTGGTCGCACTGAGACGAGTCGCGGTTGTGAGTGGACGCTCGTAACTCTTTGGAATTTATTAGGAAAATTAACATTTCATACATCTTTAAACGCCGTTGCCAGCTTCGGTTGGGCGGACTCCGTCGTTGGATTTTTGTTTCGCGATAAATTCATTGTATACCTTTCCTTGCATTCGAGCACGAAGCGTAAATCTGAAGCGAAACGAAAGTGCTTTATTGTTTGCGCTGCGAATTAGAATTATTTAAATTGCGTTTCCATGGAATTTCGAAAGTAATTCGCGCTGGATCATCAGGTTACCGGAAAGACTTCTTGCATTCACATAATAATAAATAAACCGGAATAAATCGATATTCACATATCAAATGAATATATAAATGAATAATAAGACATACTTCTAATACGATTTGTATTTATTGATTCATAGCCACTTGGTGAGTGTAAATGGGTGCTAAAATCGTATTAACGAAGCAAAATCGTTCCGGCTTGCCATGCGTCGTTGCATTTTTATCAAACGTTCGCACACGTTTATCCAGCGCCGCGCGTGGAAATGTTTTCCGAACACTATTACGGCACGAAACCGAAAATCGTTAAAGCCGGTAATTTACGGCTGACCATAAATGCAAAAGGTTATAATATTTTTAGTGCGGCCCGCGGAGGGATACAAAGATGAAACGCGTTCGGTTCGACGACAACGCGTACATGTTACACATATATTTAGTGTAACTTTTAATCGCCCATAACTCATATAATCGCCAGCGAAAAAATACCAGAGCAAGATTTCTCGACGAATTTTTAACTATTGTATTATTATATATTACCACAACAATCCTGTTGAGATAAATCGCTTAAAACGCTAAGAAAACTATAAAATTTTAAAATTCAAAATTTTACATTCGCGAAATGTGAAAATGAACACAAATTAATGTAAAACTACATTTTGAACAAGTAGTTATCTCAAGTGGCCTCTCAACCTTAGTTGTAATGAGTCTGGCTGCGCTAATATTGAGCACACATTGATTTTTTCCTTGTCGCGTTATCATAGCAAAATGCGCAATATCTACACGACGCGCGTTATCACCGACCTAGACCAAAAAGCGCGTCAAAACCGCGGCACGTGTACGACATTGTAATGTAAAGCACTGTAATCTACTTATCTACTCAATTAACACACTCACACACGCGCTGATAAATATGTAACCAAATGTATGTATGCACAGTTCAAGTTCACCATGCACATGGCTTATGATTAGATTATGAAAGAGAAAGTAATTCCTACTTATACACAATGTGATCTATGTGCAAACCTCACTTTCATTAAACATACGAAAAAAAAAAATTATCATTGCGATATAATCTAGTTGTAGACGTACGTATTTTTATCACAATTCTACTTACCTAGTGAGTTCGTTTGCCTCGCAATGAGCAAACATTGTTATCGCCGGCGCAACATGCATGTAAGTTGCGGTGTAATTCAAATTGTATTATGCTTTCATTACTGAAGTGAAACTTTGAGCATGCATGATTTTTAATAAAATACTGATTGATTGATTTATAGAATTTGTGTGATGTGATTTCTTCAGATGATTTTTGTGGGTCTTCTATCTTCGTTTTTCTTCGGGGGTCCTTCACTTATCAATACAACGATGCACTTAATTACGTTGTGCCAGTCTTCATGTTTTCTTGGTTAATACTTGTACTTTTAACTTGTGCGGCGAAGAAAAGGGGGGCTCAGTTACACTGAGAGAGTAATGATGCCAATTTTTGCAAGAAATAGTTATAAATTTGTACAACATAAAAGTTAGTGACGAATACTTTCACAAATACTTGATAGAAAATAATACCTAAGTGTTTATCAACTCTCCTCAAAATTTATATATAATTAAAGCTCATTTTATCTCTTTTGATTTTGATTTAAAGTAAAAATTTCATTTTTGTAAAAATTAGTACGATGTTGAAAAAAATAATACCTAATTAATTTAAAGAATACTTTGTGTTAATTTGACGGCATCATTACATCTCGTTAACAGTGGAACTAATCATCGATCCATTCAAACTCCTTCTTCGTTCTTTGTTCTTGCTGTCTATACCACGTGCGCGCCACGTTTCGAGAGGGTGATAGACACCAAGTTATAAAACATAAAAACAGAAAAGAAAACACCGTGCATAAATTAAATGTGTCCTTCAATTCGACGGATTTTTTTGATCGCAACGAGAATAAAACAGAAGATAACAAAGCAGAAAGCTTTTGGAAATAAAAAAAAAAAACAAAAATATTCTAAGCAAACAGATAAAGACTGAAGCTAACATAGATAGATACGAAGACAAGACAAGAATTTAGTTAATAATGTTAATAAATTTTGAAAAAAAGACAGCAAGAAGAATAAATTGGCAACAAAAATCACAGAATAGTAGTTTTTAGATAATACAGAAGAATACAGAAAGCGGGAGCGGCAAAAGATAATAATTATGTTTTTAATCATCCATACTGACGCGAGGAGTTTCGTAGCTCGACGCCGTCGTACATGTTGAGGTTGTAAATTCTTGAGTATTCGATCACCACGCGTTTGCCTAAATGTAGAACATTATTAAACGTGGTAAAAATCCCCAGAAAAAAATTAATTAATTTAAATAATCACACGTTAAAGAATAAAATATAATTTTTTAACACTAACCGTCGTCGATTCGCTTTGTCGCCTCCTCCAGGTCTCCATTGGAATCCTTCAATATCGCGTACATCAGAGGCATCATCTCCCATGGATATCGAAACTTTTCCAAGAGTCGCTGACAGTCTTCCAGAAGGTCAGTACAAACTGTAACAATAAATTACAATATAAATAAAATGGCGGCATATTTAATTTAAACATGTTTTTATTGTTATTTTATTCCTTCGCTCATTGGTTGAAGGAAACCGCTCATCAGTTACAACTGTCTTCATCGTCGAAGACCACCACATAAGGAAAGACTAAGAAGTCGAATTGTAAGGTAGAAGAAACGCAAATGCGAATACAAAACATAAAACTGCGTATCTTGAACTTGGTAAAATAAATAATTTAGCGTCTTGTAGTTGATAAGTTATTACCTCCAAAGTATTCAAGTGATTTGCGTCGACAAACGCGCAGAATGTAGTATTATGTAAGTACGAAACGAATCTAAGAAACAGGTTCGAGTTGCAGATACAAAACGAGTCATAAAATTGTTATTTTGCGCTGGAATGATTTACTGCTTGGTATTCTTAGTAATTTAATCATTTTTTATCCCGCTCAAAGAAAATTTTTACATGCGTATTCAGTAGGTCTGAGAATCGGTAACTTCATATCTTTAAGTGATAAGGGTTGTTCACCCTTAATATTTTTTTAAATTTTGGTCGAAATTTTTTGTTTTTATTTTTTTAATGTGGCATTAAAATATACATACAACCCTAAATTTTTGGTTTCTTATCACCAACCCCTATTTTTTATAATAAGTAAGTTACTTTTTGTCTACACTAAAATTTATCTAGAAACTTGAAATAATTTATATGGCAAAACAACGTTTGCCCGGTTAACTAGTATATAAATAAAAAGAAATGGCGCCATATTTAATTTAAACATGTTTTTATTGTTATTTCCCGTAATTTCATGCGTCACGCGATCCTCGCTGCCTATCCAATTGCAAAGAAGAGGTAGGCCCATCGACATAGAGGCATCATTAATTATCGTGGTAGTCTGCTCCTACTGCTCTTTGGAAAGGTGAGCAGCGCAGGAGGAGCGATCGCAGCGAACCGCCACGTCGATTTCTATTCCTTCGCTCATTGGTTGAAGGAAACCGCTCATCAGTAACAACTGTCTTCATCGTCGAAGACCACCACATAAGGAAAGACTAAGAAGTCGAATTGTAAGATAGAAGAGACTCAAATGCTAATACAAAACATAAAACTGCGTATCTTGAACTTGGTAAAAATAAATAATTTAGCGTCTTGTAGTTGATAAGTTATTACCTCCAAAGTATTCAAGTGATTTGCGTCGACAAGCGCGCAGAATGTAGTATTATGTAAGTACGAAACGAATCTAAGAAACAGGTTCGAGTTGCAGATACAAAACGAGTCATAAAATTGTTATTTTGCGCTGGAATGATTTACTGCTTGGTATTCTCGACAAAAACAAGAATCGCGTTAATGAACACGAATTCTACATACTGCAGTTAACATATTGTAATAGTTTTTAATCACGTGAGGTAAAGAAATGTTTTTTCGAGTGTAGAAAATGCATTTTAGATTTCACTATTGACGTAGGACACAATTTACATTGTGCATAATGAAGCTTTGATACATTCGGGTGGAATACCTGAGCTACTTACAAACTAGGGTGGTACTCATGTCCGCAAATCACATTTCGGTTACAGAGTTACACTGTTATGTGGCCAGAATGTGTCGATAAGTGGAATTGGTTTCAAACAATGAATTTATGCATCAATTTAGCAAAAACACACAATCTAATGTAATATATAATAAATTAATAATATTACACTATTTTTAAACAAATTATGACTTTAAATAAACGATTTATACCTCGTAAATTGTTTGAATAAACAATTTTTGTATTTATTACGTAGTCAAATGCACATGATACAGATGAGTATTTAGAAGCGCATGAACAGGCTAATTTTGCAACTATCGTCCGGCACGCGGATATGAATTATTAATAAGTTAATACTCATGTCTGCACATACAATATGCAGGGATTTTCGGGTCGTGGCAATTTGCATCGCAATCAAACAGTCGACCATGGCGCCCCCTAACGCCAAGCACGAACGCGTTTTATTCAATTACACCACACACATGCTGAGGCCACACATGTAAAATCCAATGCAATCGCAGATGTTAACGCGGTGTAAATGCATAAAAGTGGAGGATAATTTAATTTTTGTTACAATATAACACTAATTTTCATCTCTGCATGGATACACGACGCAAAACCATGCATTTTAGGCACTGAAGAGGAAAACATATCACTATTAAGCGCAGAAGCGTGTGATATAAAAATAAAACTCGGACGCGTTGATGAAAAGAAACGTAGTCGATAAATGTCGAACATCAACTACTGCGCTGGTTTGTTTTTTCTTCATGTTGGGCGAGGAGAAGGAAATTGTCAGTCATGTCATGATAATACGTGCGGATTGCGAAACGGCAGACAGACGGCGAAGTTTACGTGACATTAGAAAACGCGTCCGCCGAGTGCAATAACAACTAAGTAATCACTGTTTTAGTTTGTGCCCGGGCATTGGTTTGCTTCGGGGGCGAGAAGAACATGCAGCTTAACGACGTCTCGCGCCGCATTAAAATTTCTGAATTGCGCCAACGTATATAAAACGACGTGAAAGCCCAGAAACGGAAAACTCGCCACGTCAGACAACCTCACGTTATCTATTTCTATAAATCTTAATCATATACGTAAAATAAAGTTAAAGCATTTTTGGGAAAATTTTGTATTAAACTAAACATTTTACCGATAATAAATCAATTGTATGGTTAAATATTATATTATAAATTATAATTTAAAATAATCATGACTGTTACATTGGTACTTAATTTGAAACCATGAAAACAATGGCGCACAAAGCAATAAACAAGCGAAAACTAATTGCACAATACATATTATATTATATATTATATTCCGTAAGTTATGATTAACATGAGATGTTGGAACCGGTTTTAATTTAATAAACTTTTATGCTTCTCAATTTATTAATTCATTATTTATTATTAAACGTTTTACGAGCGATATAGCCACTTTTAATTTTAAAGTAATAAAAGATTAAGCGCGGAGTTCAAGTGTAAGTGCTGATTAAATAGCAACAATAGCACCACAATTTATGCATATTATGAATGCTTTGGTTTTGCTTTCAATAACATAGTAATTGTGCTATTGTAATGGTTTAATCACTAATTTAATTTAAAACACGAAGTTGCATGAAGCATGCATTAAATAAATTAGGTTACGTAAGTAGAAAACCAACGTTACACGCTGAATAACCTCCAAATTTAGTCACGACTTGTTCATTTTCTTGATGTGATTTTTATACTTAAATTAAATTACCTTCATTTAATGTTATACAGGAAACAAATATCAAACGTAGATACAACTCTCAACTCTCTCAAAGTGTTTCGATAGATTCTCGTGTGGACAACTGAAATCGTTGCCTTTGACAATTTGATGCAAATCGAAACCTACGAAACTGATGCATTGGGATTTGGTGTTAATGTCATCCCTGCATCCTTCAAGAGTACTTGTTAGGGGACAAGATGAGAAGTGATAATAGGTGAAACTCTAGTCTACGTCAACAACCAGCAAACGCGAGTAGACCGGGTTTGATACCCTCACAAACGATACTTCAACATGATGCGGCAGTATCTTTCGCCTGATAACATATTAGCTTTCGTAAATTCACGTGGAGGGGTTTTCACTTTGTGAGAAACATTTACGCATACTCGTAATTCCTGCTGTTACAAAATTAGGTCTTTAGGTTACACCTAGCGCCATCTCACGATATAAAATAGAAACTTTTTTGCCAACCACACTCAAAACACCTTTAAATTGACCTGGAATTTCAGTCCTAGTGACTTAATTTATTTTTTACAAAGATAAAATGATAGAAAATGTGAATAAACCTTGAAAAAATGAAAAAAACATCTCAATAAATCTCTTGGAAGCAATAATAATGCAGTAGTAGGTTTCTAACACTATCGAAATTAGCATAAAAGAACATATTGTTGTTGCATTGTAGTTATAGTGCGTGCACAAGATGGAGGCCTCCAGTAGGTATTATCTTTCAACTTGCATCGTTCCAATGTGGCTCATATCTATTATATTAGTATGTACTGGCATTACTTGCATTATTCGCGGCATTGTATGCCCGCACACTCACGCGTGGCCACGCTATATCGAAATACGACGTGTAGGAATAATAAAACGCGTCGTTTTATGCCTCCGCTCGTAAATCAAACGGGCCCGTAAGAAATTTATATCTATAAAGAATATTTTATTATTTAAGGGGTTAAACGCTTTGCATTCCGATATGTTGCGCGCGTTGCATGTTGCGATAATAATCATTGCAGTTCATAGCATTTACGTAAACGACGAGAACAAACGCAAACAATTACTAATTAAATAAATTTTGTAAATTTATATCACGTAATTGTATTGCTGTTGCAATATATGAAAACTTTTCGTTTGGATTTTGTTACATGTTTGCTGGTTTGCAGTTATGCGTTGCATAGGAATCGCAAAGATGTTTATAGTCCTTCGCATTGAATAGCAACACAATATTTTAACGACGCCATGACTCAAGCCTGAAAGAAGTGACATTAAAAGAGATGAACGGCAAATAAATGTAAGAAACACTTTTGTCTAAATTTATATGTGTCCATGTTGTGTTAATCCTTTCCATCGCCTTTGCTTCTTGTTATTGTCTGTGCCGAGAGTTCCGACGGCATGCGCGAAGATGAATAACAGAAATAATAACTAGATATTAATATTTAACTCGCGAAATCGTAAAAACTGCAATAAAACTCCAAGGGACTATCGGGTCGTAAATTAAGTGTCTGGGCAAGCAAGCAAGACTTAAAGTTAAATATATTGAACATGTCTGATGGATGAAAATTTTTAAAATTTAAAAATTCGATAATTAATCAATGCTTCTGTAAATTTTAATTAAAAATACAGATTAAAACTATTTGCATCTCATAGACATTAAATCACAAGTTGCAAAGTAGTAAAATTTTGAAATTCCGAAAACTCCAGGATTGGATTCGCTCCGCCTGGTCGTAAACCTC